ATTTTTTAAATTCAAAGACATAGATTATCTGATATCACGATAAATACACATTTTACAATACCTGCCTCAATAAAAATACAAATATAAGTCGTAGAACCGTTTTAAGTTTAACAAATAAAAACCCACAGACTTCACGTGAATCTTACTGTGATTTCTAACAGTTCATCTTACAATTGTTTGGGTAATTATACTGAAACTAAAAATATAAATCTGTAGTGTCACAAGTTTTACAAAATGTAAACAAAACAGAAATAAAAAAAATCAAAATCAATGCAAAAAACCGGTAAGCAATTATTGTCATCAGTTCCAGTCATCTGTATTTTTTCGCCTAATTAGGAAGAAAAGTCAATACCGGTCAGTACACGGGGGTTGCTGTTACTGCTGCTGCTGCTACTAATGACGATGATTATGATAATAATAATATTTATTGTAAATAATAAATAATTTTACACACCATTTACATGCATATTAGTTGTCAAGATTTTGCACTGGAGGCATGACTTGTACTACGTCATACAAAAAAAAAAAAACTGAGTAATAGTGAATAAAACCATAAATAGTTACAATAATTGTTATGCTTATTTGATTTTAAATTCCAAATTTAGTTTTAATATTGGAATGATTTTGAAATGATAATAAGTTACACCATTTACATGTGTAATTTTACAAAAATGTTTTAGATATAGAAAAGAAGACATCAAAAGGGACTTCTACCCACAGATAAATTATATGAATTTCAATCAGACTGATAGCGGTGATATTTACCAGGCTATGCCTATGCCGAAGCTATGAACAAGTACTGAGATATAGAGCTCTAAACAAAAAGTGCCGAATGGTCCCAAGTCTCACCTACATTTCGCAATGAGTAAATGAAAAGAAATTAAATCTTTAATAATAGTATGAGAATTGTTGTAAAGGGTTTAGTTTAATTTTGGATTTCCTTAGTACATAGTGAATGAATGAAACTTTAAATTTAATAGGAGGATCATTATTCTGAAGGTCTAAGGTCTATAAGTCTACCAAATCATTATTGGATGATCCGATTTCTAATGATAGCTCATACCGAAAATATTTACATTTACAATTTACAATTTTAGGAAATATTCCATAATTAGTTCACTCGATAATATTGTATTTTACTTTTTTTAATTAAATAAGCTTTTCTAATTATAAAATAATCCACCAAATATTTATACCTTGACGGGATCGGTTACAGCCACCATTATTTTATAGCTGTTTGTTCAGTCTATTTCACTTTTAATATTATTAATAAACTATTCATTCATTTGAAATATGCATTCAGTACTTGATCAATATTTTTCACTATTTTCTATTTCAAATATTTTTTTTCGAATTATGATTTCAAAATTTTCCAAATTTCACTGCTTTCAAGACGATAGTCACAACGCAACTAAAACACTTCTTAAGGAAAAAGTGTCTCAAAAGTGACAGCCCGCGCCAAAAGTCAACAAGCAACAGTTAGTTGTGCTGCGTTCGGCATTGGGATAAAGTGAGAAGATATGAAACGGCTAATACGAATGTATGTGTGTATGCAAGTTTGTACGGCAGGCTAAGCGACGTAAATATAGCACCCAAGACGCCTCAGCTTATCCACCATACCACAGCAACCACCACATCGAAGCGTACGCACACAATTATACTTTCAAATGGGGTTTTAGTAGAACTTATATCCCACCGCAACCATCCACATCCGTATGGTAATGCATAGGCAATAACCAAGTGAATCGCTGGCTCGCTGCTTGACATATTTACTGACTTGCTTAGCAGTAGTAATCAGTAGATATGTAACGATTATCAAAAAAGAGAGATATTACTTTGTTGTTTTCTTCTTTTTCTTAACAGCCACAAGTTAGGGAATTAGTATTTCTAAAAATAAAAAATATTAAAATGGTATTTAGTTAAGAAAATAATAATAATATGCGACAAATTTGGAGTGAGAAATTCCTTGTGGAAATTAAAGGCCTTGGCTTTTTTAGAAAATAGAATACAAAATGTCGATAAAAACATACGAAGATGGATTTCTTGTCTTTGTGGACCTTTTCAGAACTCTTAAAATTTCTGAGATCCGAAATTGGGTATTAGAACTGTTGTTGGTGAGTAGGATGGTAATAAGGAGTTGTTTCTATAAATAAGGAGTAATAAATTTAGTAGGAGGCGTTTTATCTTTTATAGGGATTATATAAGCGGAAAGGTTTGTTGAAATCGATGAGATTCCTTAAGTTCTCTATAACACAATTGTTATGTATATATAAATAAAAATCTTTAAAAAAGTAATGACTTTCCACTTCAAAAGACCTCAAGAGCCTCATTGCTCATCAAAGGGTTAAAAAAGAAAGATATCTCTAAATCATTTTTTAGATTTTGAAATCTATTTTATGTACGGTAGCTTAATCGTTAAATTGTTCGACATAGATTTCAAAAAAAAAATAATTTTTTTTTTTAGATAAGACTAATATTGGTTTATCGAATTATGGCTTATCAATTTAATTGCTATGGAACACGTCGAGTGATAAAGCACTAAATTTTAAGAGTAACCGTCATCAGATGTTAAGAATACTGAAACCGCCTCAGTACTTCACGTGAACATTGGGTGTACTTGTACGAATCTATAAAAATTAATTGTTGAGCATGCATCGATCTACTGCTGGTGTACACCATATGTTATATTTGAGATTATTGAAAGAGTAATTAATAAAAATGCGCGACCAAAGCTTCATATGTTTGTAAAGACTTATTTTACACAACGAGAAACCAAAATAAAAAAGTAACTTCGATCGCAAATTGCAACAAGAAATGTATTCCTTAAATATAGCGATATCACGTTGAAATATTGGGTGGACCTTCTGACAACCCGATATTCTCGATTGAATAGCAAATTAGGCCGTTATACAAAAATACCAAGAACCTAGTTTATCAGAACTGTATCCACCCTAGAGTTATAAAGACGTTTGGACAACAAATCACACTGAGTCTAATTCATAAAGTTTCCGCTAACGGTTTAATGGCATATTTTCCAATTTTCCCATATTAATATTATACCAAAATATATCATGTGTAAACAATTTTGAAAAATTTTGAATTCTTTTTGAAACTAGTCAAAAACTCGAAGTGATCAAAGCCTTGCACATTCTAATAATTTTAATAGACCAAGATAAAGACCGATTAAGCGTCAAGAAGCCTATTTACAACTATTTACATCGCATCTTACACGATTTGACGAACCATGTTCTGATATGTTGTCTTCTACTTGATCTTTCCATCGAATTCATGGGCTTACCCTTCTGCGTGAACCAGCACTTGGCTCAATTTTACATGCCTTTTAAGTGGGGGAATCATTTTTCATTCTCACATCATGACCTAGCCCAGGTAGTCGCTGCAGCTCGATCCGTCTGATCGACCTCTGCGACCGACCGAGATATATAAAATCGTCCACTACCTCGAAGCTGTAGTTTTCATGTTCCACAGTTGGTCCGAGTCTACTGAACGTCTTGCACGTTGATACCATCAGCTTGGTCTTCTCGCCGTATACCGCCAGATCCACTTTGGTTGACTCCTTCTCAATTTGTTCAAAGATGGCTGTTACCGCTCGCAATGTTCGGCCCCTTATTTCGATGTCGTCGGCGGAGGCAAATAGCATATGCTGCATATGCGGAGGCAAATGCTCAGAGTGCCATTTCTGTTCACATTTCCATCTCATATGAACTTGTTAAACAAGACACACGTCAAACATCGGTATTGAAGGGCTCCGAGAGGTCTTTTCCGACTTTAACTGCTGACCTTGTGCCACGCAAAGTTATCCTGCATAGCTGTATTAATTTTGCAAGAATGCCGAAAGCAGACATGGCTTTAAACACATATGAACGGATAGGGCTGTCGAATGCGGCTTTATAGTCGACGAATAGGTGAAATGTGTCGATGTGTTTTTCGTAGGTCTTTTCCAGGATCTGGCGCAGAGTGAAAATCTGGTCAATGCCAGGATTTGCCTGAAGCCTCATTGATATGGTCCAATAATGTCATTGACCATTGGCTTCAATCGATCACACATCACGCTGGATAGCAAATTACATGCGAAGGGAAGGAGACTTACTCCTCTATAGTTGGCACATATCGTCTTGTCCCTTTTTTTGTGCACGGGACACAGGATACTGAGGTTCCAATCCAATCTGACCACCAGAAGTAACTTTAACCTATCCCCTATATAATGGTTACGAGCATTTTCATATTTTTAGTGATATTGAAGACATCGGAGTTAGATAAGGTGCTGTATATCATTGACTTAGGACTATTTGTCGATAGTCTACAATCAAGTCATGGACTACAAACTTTAGAGTCATTCATAATTAAAAATCAGTTTTGCTGGATGTACATTTTGTTAGACTTTGTTAGGTTCCAAGTAATGACGACATAAATCGAAATGATGTAACAGATGAGCTTGCTAGATGTGGATCGCACTCAATCAAAGACAGACATCCTACTTGCGGATCTTAACGAAATAGTTGTAAGACCCGCATGATTTATAGAGAGAAAGCGAAAATAAGATGGAATGTGGAAACTGGATGTAGAGCCTGGTACGAAGATTTAAAACAGAGTTAAAGAGGGTTTCTGCAACGTCATGTGGTGTGGTTGCAGAATCATATCTCTTCTTTCAAAATGAGATATTGATGAAGTGAAATACTACAGTACTACTACTATATCGTTGTCACATGCTTCGCAACCGAAGTTATCAATAATTTGGTATATATGAGGCAGAAACTTTAACCTTTTTTTCCGATATAGACCCCAACATCATTTACAGCTTTACCAAAACTTGTCATGACTGAGCTATCAGCCCTAACCAATACCTTTTACTTCACACGTCCTCTTTTTCCTTTCTAGCTCTCTCTCTACAACGTTTTTTAGCATGGACAATATGTCTCCGAGTAAAGTGACTGTTTCATGGCATGACCTTAAAATTTAAGTTGTATCAAATATATTTACTTTTAGTATATTGCATCAGTTGAGCTCTTTTTAGACTGATCGTCATACGTATCGTCGCGATGATATGCATTTATTAAATCGCTTAATTTCTGCAGACCCAAAACAAATGACGATGAAATTATTTTCTCCAAAAATTCCAATATGTACAAGTTAATGTGATCCGTATGAAGCTACAAAAAAAAATAACCTTTCAATATTTGTCAATCCATGTACATACATATGTATTCAAATGCTAACCTTAATATCACCATACGACACACCAAACATACGATGCCTTTGGCTAACATCGCTCAAAAGGACATTAAGATATATGGCATTATCCAAACCATGTTCTATAAGATTACCATAGACTTGCAACAGCTCCTGGGGATGTTGATGCAGACGTTGCATATTAAATTTACCCATTCTATTGCGAAATTTCTCCAACAATTGTTCATGCTCCTCGAAAAATCTGCATATTTAAATAAATGAAAAGAATTAGAAAGGAAATGAAAAGAAATTTAAATTTTCTTGACAATTCCACTTACTCCATGAATATTTGTTTAGAATGATAATTAAAACGTCGCTTAATAAGACGCCAACCATTTCGTAACGATGCAATTTCGGTTGCCGTAAATCCATTTTCATTGGTAGGCGATTGATTATCTCGCGGTGGTAATGGTTTCGGGTATACTATGTGAAAAGACATGGATAATTTTTGAACGACGAAATTTTGTATTGTTTTGAATTTTGATTTTTTAATTGTTTGACTTCGACACAGGTAACAGGTCTTCGGGACAACCTTTCGATATAATTAGAAGAGGCAATTCCTATACCAGGCCAAATAGTCTTTCACCATACTGAAATTTTATTCCAGATGTTATTCGCATTTTAAATGGTTGCTAGACTAGGACGAATGTGCAGGTCGAGGGGTCCACAATTCCGACCACCAATTAGCCCAAGGCCCTAGGGGTCACATTCGATAGTCTTTATAAGTCGTCCGCGCACAGCTATTTGCGATAAAATCAGGAGCAGAACCATGGTTTTCATGTCGCTAGGCGGAAGCTCTTGGGCCCACTTACATGTTGAGACCAAGATCCTTCCTGTGCGTCAACATAACAAGATGTTGTCGATGCAATACCTGATTTGATGTTATAGGAGTAGCCATCCAGTAGTAGGAGTAGCTATCTCGACAAACCAGAGTGGATTAAGAAGAAATACATAGCAATACAAGCTGCTAAAACAACAACGATCCGAACCGACCCGGGTATTACTCATTCATTTAGCATGTCGACCCGGGTATTACTCATTCATTTAGCATGTCGACAACTGTGTGTGAATATTATTCAGACCTGCTTAATAGGTATCTTGATCTGCATTTTATTCCTTTATTCCTTTTATAAACTTCGACCTCTATATCTTGATCATCCGGATCCTGTCAAGCCAGGGTGGGGAGTTCTCTGAAGCATCCCATCAGGTGCGGCAATGAAATGCTTACGAAAGGTGAGGATCTTAATCATGAGGAGGCACTCTGTTGCAGACCCCAGGGCGGAGTTTTTACTGGTCTGAATACTTCTCCATTGCGTAGCACATTTCGGCAAACTATACTGTCACTACGCAGCTGGCCACAGACCGACTTATCGCTTTATAAGTGGTCAACAAGGTTTCCTACCGGCAAACAAGGTCCTTGAGGACATTGTTCCTACTTTCCAAGCAAACACAAAATAATGCACACCGAATTACAACCGGCTGTGTCCAGATGACGAGCGTCAATCACCTACATCAGGAGGCCAGGATGCTGTCAGTCAAGCATCATAATGACTTGTTGACTAGACAGAAGGCTCTATGGCAGATCCACCTCCGCGACACATCAGGTGCTATCGTGAAGGCATCCAAGGCCGCATTCCATCGGACGTCAACATACTGTCGATAGCGAACGCGATGTAATCCGTGCATCAAATGGCGGTCTACGAACCCATAAATGGCTACAGGTGCCACAAAGTCCTACTCCAACATCCTCCAGTAATTTCGGACAGTTCTTCCCGTTCGATTCTGGCACAACTCAGATCCGGGTGTTCAGCAATGTTTTTTCGTATCCCTTACGACACACAACATCTGTTCGATTGTCCGCCCGAGCCTACAAGTCTACTGTCTATTCTAACTTTTTATTTCGCTAATTCTCCGGAATCTGCTGAGCGTCAACTTGAACTCCCTGACCCCGGGATCTGCTGGGTTAGATTGATGGGGTTCAACTGCATGTAGAATCGGCGTGGCTTCGGAACGATGTGGTGGTTCCACCTCGATAGGAAGATATCTTAAACGGCGCAGTACTCATCCCACTCGGGATGTTCAACAAAGTGTCGTAATTGGTGCATCTCTTTGGATCAGTCACAGTTACGTCCTTAAAATGACAGAGGTCATCCTTCTTAGCAGGATTCGAGAGCGACTTAACCATTGACAAGATGCTCTAAACATTTATTCCACTTGTTTTCCGCGACTAATATGCTGGCCATCAATATGAGTTCTCTTCACCTTGGGATCTACTGACTTAGATCGATTGAGCTCATCACGCTAATTTACTAGATCAACTGCTTGTAGAATCGGCGTGGCTTTTGGCGCGATAGGATGGTACCTACGCGACGGAAAGACATCGCAATGTAGTGTCGGTTAAAATAACTGGCGCATCTCATCGGATCAATCACAGTTTC